ATCTGATCAAAACTGCCGAAAATTTTGAGAAGTTTACCTTGAGGCCCGAGGCATCCCCGAAGATTGAAAGGGCTTCCTGAACAAACAAAAGATCCAATCTCTAAGGTCTTATGTATATGACCACATCATCGGCATACATTGAGAGCCTTTGCATCGCCGTGCATCCCGGCATCTTGCTAACCACATTCATCTCCTGGGCTTTTATCACCAATGCAGTGAGGACGTGTGCTCGCGAGGTGCGCAGGTTCCTAGCAACTCACTGTAGGCTTCAAAGAAAACATCCTCCTTTTCAGCTTTGTCTGTGATAGTACGCCCATCTATGGAGATCGCGGGAATGAATTTATTTGCTCTCCTACCATTAGCCACCAAGTGAAAGAGCTTGGTATTTGCATCTCCCTCCTGCAGCCATCTAAGACGGGAACACTGTCTAGTTATCGTTCTTTCCAGGGATGCCAGGCCCAGCACCACGAGTTTCAGAGATCTGCGCAGCCATCATTCGCCTTCTGATAGCGCTCTCCCCTCCTGTGCGCAGTCTCGCCGAAGAATCACTAGGTTTGCAATCGCGATCTGGATCTTGATATTCCCGACCAACTTTACGTTGCCCCACGCTGTTAGATGCTTCACATAGTTCCTTAGCAACACATCAAGCCTTACGAACGGGTCCGTAATGCTCGCATCACAAGTCCATCCTTCTTGTACCGCTTCCATGAACCCGTCCAGTTTCACCCAGAATAGCCCGAATCTGAATCTTTTCCAAGGATTCAATTGGTCTTCCATCGAAAGGTATAGGGGGCAGTGGTCCAAAGTGTTGGTGGAGAGAGCCTGCAGCAAGCACTCCGGGTACGCGAGCTCCCAATCCACAGACACTAGAGCCCTATCAATCTTAGTCATTGTGGGGTTCTCTCTCTCGTTACTCCATGTGAACCTTCTGCCATGAAGGAACAACTCTTTGAGGGCATTGTCATCCACAAACCTTTTGAACCTACCCATCATTCTCCTGTGCAAAAGGGAATTATTTTTGTCCATGGCATTAAGAATCATGTTAAAATCTCTGATTGCCATCCACGACCCCGGGCAGAGCGCCCTTCTAGCAGTCAACTCCTCTAGCATACTGATCTTATGCTCGTCCTCCTGCGGTCCATAAATGACCGACAACCACCAAGGTTCACCCTCCCTCTGTGAGACGTAGCCCGTGATGAAGTTGGTATCGAGTACCGTATTAGAGATCGACACCCTCGAAGAGTCCCAAGCAATGAAAATGCCACCACGGGTGTCGGACGCAGGTAAACACGCGAAACCATCATAAGCAGGAGCCAAGCACCGCAAGATAGTGTATCTGTCTACATGGTCGAGTTTCGTCTCCAAGATACACCATATAACTACTTTCATAGAGTTTGCAAGCTCCCTAAGCGCATCCTTCTTGGCCGGGCTGTTGAGCCCCCTCACATTCCAGCACACCAACTCTACGGCTGTGTATGACATTTGTAAGCATCAATGCTCCAATGTCCGTACCAACACCACTAACTCTACGTGACCATAAGGCTCTCCATGGCACCGGCAAGATTGACCGGCACCGTCTTCCTGAAGATTGCCGCAATCGCCTTGAGCTGAGGCTCGCGAAGAGGTGAGTCGAAGATGACCCGCAACTGCTCCAGTGCTCCCTCCGATACTGCTAGGTCATCCTCCTTAATGCCTAGTGTTTTGAGCAAGACTGTTTCCGCCGCCGATGCCCTAGACTTGGATCGGTTGCCCACTCCAACGGACCGTGTGTTGCACCTCGGGGTAAATGGGTCTTGTCCCGTTCGGACTCCCCTCATCATTTCGATCTCCTTCAGCAAGGGTGGCGCTAGCTTCTTCAGCAGACCTAAGCAAAAAGATTTGATGTTGCCCAGGGCTACTTGTTCTTTGGCTGAAAGGCCAACTTCCACAGCCCTGTGGCCCTCTGTTTGCATGGCACCGGACGTGGTCATGCCAAGCTCACCCATTTCCCCTTCCAAAATCTGCATGCGTCTTTGACCCGCCCAAGGGAGGCCAGCACGATCGCACGACCAGTCTTAGAAGACTCCGCCTGCACGACATCCAATGTTGATACGGTCTCCCCTGCCAACCCCACCCGGGGCATAGACCGAGTGTCGGAGGCGATCATGTCGGACACTGGGCCCCAGCCCTCTATCAGGGTGTCCCCCTCTTTGGCTGCCGCCAGTGCGCCCTGATCCTTCTCCTCTAGGATCATCTGTGGCTTGTCTGCCTCCACCCCCATAACTATCTCACGGCCCAAGGATGGTGGCAGCCGCACCGGATCCAGGGCCTCTCCAGTCCCAATCATAGCCAACTCGCCCAAAACCTGGGGATCCGCTGCCTTATCCCGAACTCCTGCCAGAGCGAGGTCCGGAGACACCTCAAGCTGGCCCACCATTACTTTATCTGCCTCGGGGCCAGATCCCAGGCCAGACACCAACTGGGCGGTTCCTCACACCGATCCTGCCGCCTGTGTATCGCATCCCATCTCTCCTATCCCAAGACCCGGCATGACCAGCCCAACTGCTGGCACCACCTCATTGGCTGCATGGGAGTCCGACCCCACCCGCGTGGGCACCGGGATAGGAGCCTCGTTTGAACCCTGCGGACCTGATCGTTCCACCATTCAAATCCCAGGGCCACTGCATGGGATAGGCGGCCCCACCGTCTCCATCGACGTCATGGATGGAATTCTCCCGTCAGAGGGCCCAGTCTGCCTTCCAGGGCCTGCCTGTAGGAGCCACGGCCCGCGCCGCCACCCGTCGCCGGCCCCTAACTCCTCCGTCTCGCTCCGCGATCATCGCAAACACAGCGCGACCACGGCTGGACCACCCACTCGCCGCCTGGGAAGGATCCATTGGAGCTGCCCGGCAGCCCGCTCTGCCCGCTGTCGCCATTCAAGCTTGCCGACCGCCGCCAATTATCCGGCGCGGTGAAGTCCCGTAGCCTGCCCACATGAATGAACACGGGGTACTCCAGCAACTGCCGAAACCTGACGCGACGCGCCGCGGGGTCAACCACCATCCGGCGGCTCCGGCACCCAAAGTCGCCGAAAGAGAGGCACCTCCTTTGGATCGACGCACCAAGCACGCACCTTGAACAATGAAAGATCCTCCCTGCTCTCCGCTTCTGGCGCAAGACTGTCAATGAGGCAGGAGTTGCCAAGGAGCTCTGCCGCCGTGTCTCTTGACCAGGCATGTGAGGGAATCCCTTCGATTATGAGGTCCACTTGCATGCGCATAAGCCTGGATGTCGCTTGCGCCTGCCTAAGCCATGGCCTGAAGAAGATTTTACACCCTGAAGCTCGACAAACGGCACCGCCAGCGCCCTATTCCTGAACTCGTGCACCGCGAACACCACTAGGAAGTCCTCCGGGTGAAATTTGTGGACAGAGAACTTGTGCCTTGGAATGCCCAGCTGCACACAGATCACCTCCGCCGCCTCCATGCAGGAGGTGGCCGGCCTGGACCCGCCGACGTACGTCACCACCACCAGCCTGAGCCGACGCTCAAGGTCATCCATGCCTGTCGAGCGCTGCAAGATGCAAACCTCCGACGGTGCCTCCAGAAAGGCAGCGCCAGCAGCCTCTAGGGTAAATATGGGCACAACTGGCGAGATACGCGCTGGCGGCACGCTCTGCCTAGGCTCCAACAGTCTAGTCCCCAAAGGTGGTGACTGCGTCGGCCCTTGCTCCCGCCTGGCAACCTTGGCAATCACCGCACGTCGGAGCTCTTTGTCTCCGATGTCCATCTTGAAAGCATCTGAAACAGAGCCCGTAGAGGTCCGACGGAATCTGTCTTCTCTCCGAGGAAGTGGGCGAGTCCGAGCGGATCTGACCACCAGCACCCTGCTGGCGTCTCAAACCACGGCAGCGCCTCCACATGGCTTTGCGAGACGGCCCTGGCCGTCGCCACCCCGCCTCCGGCACCGCCGCCGCGGCCGCAGCAGGCGCCGTGCCGGCGGACGAAGAGCGCGCCGAGCCAGGGGAGGCCGAGAGCCCCAGCCCCGAGACCACCGTCCGTCCCCGCGGGAAGGTGGAAGACACCGAGGGCGGACCGCGGGATCCCGAAGCCATGAGCGGTGAGAGGACGCCGGGGCCGGAGCGGCCACCGGCGGGGATAGGGGAGGTGGACGCCGGGGCCGGAGTGGCCGCTGGCGGGGGGAGGGGGAGGGGTTACGCTCGGGGGAGGCTTGACCCTCGCTTTCCACCTTATAATCAACCCTTACTTACAATTTTCATGAAGAGCCAAAACACACACCAAACCAGTTGAATGCGTGCCGAAACCAGGTACCTGAAGACGGAAGTACCAAAAACCACGCACACTCACTCAACTCAACCGTTGGGAGAGGGTTTTACTCTCCAAGAATTCAATCTCCCAAAGCAGCAAGCATGCATGAATTGAAAAAGGAAAACAAAGACACTAGCTCTACCAACCCATCGCCAAGATCAGTACATTTTTCCTATTAGAACAAAAAACACCGTTCAAAGATGAAAAAAATGTCAGGACCGGCGCGACCTGTCATGTAGAAGATGAAGTAAAACCACGACACTTATTTTAGGTAGGACGGAGTATATCTTTGTTGTACCATATGAATTTTTTTTCTCTTGCTAATAAGCCACTCAAAGATGACTGATGGAATCCCCATGTCACACAGATGACTATTTAATTTTCTCATGCATTTATAGTTATACTATCTGTTCTGGACTTATATATGGTATATCCTGTAAATTATTGTGTGTAAAAAGAGTCGAGTCCAGAATTTCAAGGCGGTAATAGTTTTTTCTCTTTATGTAAGTGTGTATACAGCGTTCAGCTATAAACAACAACCTCTGAATCCAGTGTCAACTGCGTTGTACTTAGTGAGCTTGCAGCTCAAGAGCAGTACGTTGACCAAGTAGAAACATGCACTAAATCTGGGAGCTGAATCCGGACGGCCGAAGACAGTATCCCCTCGTTGAGCTCGTGGCTGAGCCACAACTTCTACTTCAATGTCCACTTCTGAACCATGTGCTTGCAATTCTCACACACTAGACTCCTATAAAGTTTTATGTCCTCCAGATTCACCGCTGCTTCCATTACATTCCTGACAAAGCGCACGATTTTGTCATTTGCTAGAAAGCTCCCAAAGATTCTGAGCTCAGCAAGGTTGCGGTGCTTGAAATCAGATGCAGATGGTTCCAGCTCTAGTCCCTTGTCCTTCTCCTCGCTAAATGCATACAATTTTCTCTGCTCCCCCGTTACCATTTCACATAGATGATCCCGCACCTGTATTTTGTCAGATAAAAAATTCTTAATTGGCCACACCAAGTTTGAACTTCAAAATGAGACAATAAAAATGAGAATTGAATAGTCGGTACAAGAGCTCACCACGATGCATAGTTCCTTAAGGCTGGGTGCCCCTTGGAGTATGAACATTATCCAAGTCAGATCGCATCCTTCAAAAATGTTATACAAATTCACACGCCTTAGTTTGTGGAACACCGGTAACAATCGTCTTCGACCTTCTGGTTTGACCCAAATCTGCAAAAGAGGGCGATAATATAGAATTATGTTAACCAAAAATAATGATTACAACCTCCACCCCACATGGACAGCAAAACTTATGCACATCACTGACAACATTGAGGACCTTCACTAACCTTTTCGCTTTTGAAGTTCAAATGCAGATTGCTTATTGCGGTTTTACCAAGCAACTCACTTAACTTGAGCATCTTGTGCCAAGAAAAACCAGTATTAATGATGCTGACAGTCTGGAGCAGCGGGACATAGCCAAGACAGAAAGGGTCACCTAGAGATTTAAATACATTAAATTTCACTATTATGAGTTTTGGTACCCACTTTAGATCAATCCTCTTGATAATCCTACTACATGCAATCACTAGTTCACTGAGCTGTGGGTGCTCCACTTCCAGCAAAGACTCAATGCCCATATCACAGTGGTAGAGGCGGAGGAACTCCAATTGCTTGCATATACTGAAAATTTTCGGAAAGCCTGATTCGCATAACCTCAAATTCTCTAGTGTGAGACGTGCAAGACCACCAAATGTGATTGGACAAGAATCAAGGAATGACATGAACTGCCTCCCATAATTGAGCAGCTCATTATTGGTAAAAACATTGCGCACCTTCGTTAAGATTATAAACTCAACTGAAGCAACCTTCTGTGTTGCTATGGTGTTGGCAACAGTCTGGCCAATGAAAATGGATTCATCTCCCAAGAAGAATTGCAAGCACAACAGGTGAATGCTGTATGGATTTCCAGCCCTCCTTTCAAGTATGCTCCTGGTTGCTGTCAGCATGGTGGTATTGGCCCGAACTATGTCATCTGATGTTAACTTCCTCCCTTCGTGCTTCGGGTGAAACGAACCAACCATTATAACAACCTTTGGGAGTATAGCAGGGATCTGCTTCCAACGTATGGATAGGATGGTGGTTCGTGTGGCATCAGTGATATCAAGTCGCTCCACAATGTTGAGCAAAACGTCATCAGGCAACTGGCTGAGCCTATCAACTTCATTGTCCTCCTACATTTGATATGGAAACAAATCAGAGTTGATTTCTTATTAGTGTTTTCCACAAATAAAGATACAATTTTCAAACTTTCTCACAAAAAGACACACTTTTGATTGCAAAAACTTTTATACTTACCAGTTACCACAGGAATAAAAAACACAAATTTGATTATACAAATTTTATGCAATCTTTGTAACTCTCTTACATTAAGTTCCAGAGGGAGTACTTTCCAAGAAACTGGCGCAATTTTGACTCCTCCCCACAAAAAAAAGTGCCCTGTTTGGAAGCAATGTTTTGTTTTTTGAAAGCGCCATATTCCAATACTATGGTTTTTAAGTTAATTACACCCATCATACATAATCTTGGAAACTAGTGAAAAGTGGTACAAAACTTTCTGAATCAACCTAGAGGCCGACAAGTGTCATTGTTTCTTTACAAAGGAACCCTAAAGCTAATCGAATTTGTACAACAAAGGTCCTAGACTTAAAATCCCTAAATCTACCGCTGTGTTAATCGCGGGGGGCAGCGGCTACGGCTGGAGCCCAGCAGCAGTCAAGCACACCCACCAGCAGCAGAGTGTTTTATTGTGTACCTACTGCACCTTTTTTCTGGCTGGATAAATGGCTGTTACAGTCACCTCTCCACAAAGTATTCCCCAACCTCCACTCACACTCCATGGATGACAAGGTTTTAGTGGCCACAGTATGGCAAAACGGCTTATTGGCGAACCTGCGGAACCGTCTGTCTAATGCTGCTGCTCGCGAGTTGGATTGTGTGATGTTGTTGTTGCAGGATTTTCTGCAGGTGGACCGATCCGACGAACGGTTCCTCACCCATGGACTTCCGTTCTCTGCCAAGAACACCTACTCCTCCATTGTTGCTGAAGACTACACCGACCCTCACCATGACTTTGTCTGGGCCTCCAAGGTTCCGATCAAGGTCAAGATCTTCGCCTGGCTTCTCCTCCGCGATCGGCTAAACACGAAAGCCAACATGTTTCACAAGCATATTGCCCAATCAGCTGCTTGCCCCCGTTGTCAAGACCCGCATGAGGATGCCCTCCACCTCATCTCCAACTGTTCCTACGCGACACAGGTTTGGTCCTCCTTGGGTCTGCCGTCGCCAACCTCACTTGCTGCTCTGCACCAACACCCAACGATTCTAGGCCTCAACCCCAACATCTGGCCATCGGTGGCTCTGACTGTTGCATGGAAGCTATGGGACTCAAGAAACGCTCTCGTATTCAGAAACGAGGATCACTCCCACAGAACTACAATACGAAACATTATAGCAGATTTCTCTCTCTGGGTTTTCCGGTTCAAAAAGAAAGAAGACAATATCTTTTCTAAGCAATGGCTTAACTTCCTCTCTGCTGCTATTCACTAAAAGCTGATGTTGTAACTGAACTATTGTTGTAATTCTTCACTTCTC